GGGGGGGGGGGGGGGGGGTCGTTAGTAAAACAGTAATAATACACCCCAGAAGGAAGAGCCAACTAACAAAAACCCAATCTCCAGCAAGCACAAACCGCGACAACGGCTTCCCGGTCATCAACGTGGGCTTCTCCGGCAACGAATCCCAATACTGCTGTGGATCTGTGACTATCAAAGACGGCAAGACGACCTGTTTCTCCGACGGCGACCCCTTCCCGATTACCATGGGCACGGCCATTCCCGGCGTGGCAGCGCTGGCGGTGAACAATAGCGACTCGGGATCAGGATCGGGGTCGGGGTCGGGGTCGGGGTCGGGGTCCTCAAATGATAGCACGAATTCGTCCACCTGCGACGACCAGCGGCTGAAGGAGAAGGCGTTGGATAACCATGACGTGGCGATTGGGGTCGGGGTCGGCGTGCCGTTGGGGCTGATTGCGGTGGCGTCGGTTGCGTGGGCGTTGTATGAGCGCAGGCTGAGACATAGGGCTGCTGGGGTGGTTGCGGAGAAGGGGAATATGGGTATGGGTATGGGTATGGGTATGGGTGTGGGAATGGGTATGGGGGTGAACGGGAATATGAATATGGGGGTCGCCCCGCCGGTGGAGTTGGGGAGTGAGAGGACGCAGCGGCCGGTGGAGTTGGACTCCACGAAGGTGCAGCGGTGATGGGTTCATGGGGCTGTGTTATGTGTTATGTGTTTGTGTTATGGTTTGATATGTACGTTACTGAACTACTAACGAATGTTGGGCTACAAGGGATGATGTCAGGCTATTCGTTGTGGAGGATGACTTACGAGTGGTGGGTTCGTATATCTTTCTAATACGAGATGCTGACTTGGCCTGGCCAACCTAATCGCGTTACTAATGACATTCGTCGTGTTTCCATTGTTTATTGCTGATTCTTATCTCTCTTTTTTATTTATTTATTTATTTATTTTTCCTATCTCGTATAGCCATGTCTACCAGTAGACTTGTCGTATCATCTATCGGAGCCAGTATCCACGTTGGATGTGCAAGTGCATCGCCCGTTCCTCCCGGACAGATGGCTCCTTGTGGTTCGCCCTGCGCGCGTTGGGAGGATTGAACATGGGTGGTATCTGCGGTTGCTCAGTGCCCGTCGGTTGGGTTTCAGGTGTGCCGGACATGTCCAAGCGCCGCAGACCGGGCAGTCGCAGCGCCGGATCGAAGTTGATGAGGATGATCGCCTGAAGGTCGGAGCGCAGGCCCTCCTGGTTCACGGTGTAGATGATGGTCCGTTCGTCCGCCATGGCCTCGACCTTGCCGGTGCGCTTGGAGGGGCAGAGCAGTTGGGCCAACTCAGGCGGCGCGTTGTCAGGCGGCCAGAGGCGGATGCCGCGGGATGCGAAGCGCTCGTCACTGCCGTCCGCAGGTGGTCCATCACCGTCCTGGTCGTCTTCCGTAATCTCCGGACGATAGAGCCGGTTCGGGGACCCTTCTTCGCCCGCCTCGTCGATCGGGCACTTGCGCTTGCGCGAGACCATGCGCAGCCGTAAGCGGTCGTGCGGAATTAGGCTGCCGGGGGTAGGGCAGGGGTCGTTGACGAGATCGATGAAGGTTGAGGCGCACAGGTTGTACGTGCGGAGCTTGGTGCGGTTCAAGATGAAGTCCCGCCGGGGCACAGGGTCGTCGCCGCCGCCCAAGGGGTATTCGGGGTGATAGTGTCGGCGGAGGCGCTTGCGGGGGCGTTCGTAGTTCGGTTTGCTGGACGAGTCCAGGGTTTTGGTCAACGGTTCGTCCGGCAAAGAGACGGGACGGAAGGCTTCGCCCTGGTGCTTACTGTGGATGATCTCGCTGGGCGATGGGAGCGGCTGCACGTAGTATGTGCGAATGTTCTCACTACCGCCCTTATGCCACTCGCGGCGACATTCCAGGATGATCAGCTGTTGGGTGGCCTCATCGTGTCGCAGCGAGATATCCGACCACGAGTCGTTAATGGGGCCTTCCCGATGCTGGCGGCGCCAGGTCCGGTTCAGTGTCACGCGCTTCGTATTGTCGGTGGGGGCCACGCAGGCCCAAACGTAGAAGGATGTCCAGTCGACCTCTTCCATCTCGAATGACGCCTGCGTCGACACGGCGTACAGATGGTCCTGGTGGATGTCAAAACACACCGTCTGTCCGATTTCGTTGCCGGCGAAATTGTGCAGTTGCACCGGGGTCTCGTTCGTCTGTTTGCCCGTCGCCAGCTCGACGCAGTTGACGATCCATTGCTTATAGCCATGGTAGCCCGCGCCGGAGTGGGTCCCGTAGTAGAGGTAAGATTGGTTGTGTCGCACGAATAATCGCTGTTTGTTCTCGAGTTGGCGGCGCAGGCGCAATCGCCCCTTGCCGCCTTCCGTCTTTCGCCGCATATCCACTGCCAGGAGCCAGGTCTCCCGCCGTTCGACAATGTCTACGGCAATTGCCAGCACGCCATGGCTGTAGTTCATCAGCGACAGTTGGGTTGCGTCTTCGGTCGGGTCGCAACCCGGGATCACGCGCGACAGGACCGCGTGCAGGTTCAGGACATGCTCGACTTGGCTGGCCCCATGGACATCCAACGCGCGGATCTCGTCGTTGAACACGTAGCACAGCGCACCGCCGCTGTAGAGAAAGGCGCTCCCGTAGCCGATAATTGAGGCGGAATACGGATCTGCGGTTGCCACTGCTTCCTTAATGTCATAGAGACGCCCCAGTGCGTGGCGGTATCCAGACTTGTTCTCGCTGGCTTGTTGCCCTTCCTTGGTATGGAGGAGGTGGTTCTGTCGCGGTGTTAGTGTTCCGTCCCACACGGAGAGGGTAGAGAGGCTCGTACCTCGACTGTCTTCCGTGCCAGCGATTCGTTGCGCATCAAGGCATTCAGGCTTCGATTCACCCGGCTGAGATGTATGAAGTCATGACAGTCCAAGGTGGATGCCACTTGGTAGAAAACATCGTACGGGATACAATCTAGATTTTTGGTCATCTCTAACATGACCGAGGGGGCACACGATGGGTGTGAAAAGCATCTGAAGGAAGTCGACCGCACTGAAGGAGTGTAGGAGATAATATAATACGAGAGTTTCACGACGGTGTTCTCCAAGGAAACCAGCAGTGAATGTCAGGAATGCAACGCAAGTCAATGGTTGCGACAAAGGATGAAGATTACCCAAGGAGAGGCAATCACCCATGCAGCGGAATTCAATTCAGCCCGTGGAGCATGTTTTAGTAGTTCAGGAATGCGGCTCTAGCACAAGCATGAGGATCATTTTCGAAACGAGATCCAAGGCCCGATGGAATCATGGAGCCTCTCGGCCCCAGCGCGACGATTGGCTAGGAAGCGCTTATAAGGATCTCTTTAGTAGTGGACATCAGAATTAAAGCCACGCCACATGCATCGAATGAAGGTCCGCGCGTCAAGGTCGGATGATGAAAGGCAGCGATCATCGCTCGTTTCCTCTAGACCAGTGGGGTTTGTTCTTCCCACCTCCCGTGTCGCAGTTTCCCACATCTAAGAGCCTCAATCTCGCCGTCACTGGGGGTTTTTTTTTTGGTTTCCTTGTTCTTGTCTGTGATACACGGGGAATGAGACCGGGTGAGATTGGTGGATCTAATTTCCATGCTTCTTTCTTGTCCTTCCATCTCTCTTTTTGGCAACTAGAGAGCTAAAAATAACTCATCATTGGGAAACGAACTTGCTGGGTCTTGAATGAGCGCAAACTTTTGTTGGGGCTTCACCGACTTTGGCCCTCTTTTTGCGGCTCTTTTCGCTCAGCGTGGCGGAAAACAAAGCGACCGGCGCTATTTTTCTCACGCCAGTCGCTTCGTTCCGCCGTGACTACGACGAAACTATACCCCATCTTGTCGGGCCCCGATTTTGCCTCGTTGCGCGTCGGAGAAACACTGATGTCTCAGCGTGACACTATCGAAATTGAAATCAAGCCCAGTCCGTCCAAAGTGATGCGGCTGCAGGACTCTGTACGAGCTGATCCTTTACCCTGAGAAACAAACCTCTTTGCCACACCGGGTAAAAATATCGATCAATGACGCTGAATGGGTGAACACCAGTCCCTGGAGTCTTTCCGTCTTACGTGAACTATTGGAACACTGAATTCCAATGCAACACTAACTACAGTAATGATCCTAACCGAAAAGGAAACTCGGAGGAACATCCTCGGGCCAGAATTGCCATATCAAACCATCGCGTGGCGGTGCTCGTAAGCTGCCAACCATCCATGCCGTCACATTCGTCAACCAACTGGTCAGTGCGTGTCCTCCGATCACATCTTAAAATCTGCTCACCCGTGGACACGTCTACGGAACACTCTCAACTGAGTAATGCATCGAGCCACTAGACCTGACGTGACGCTCGAAATATGGTTGCCTTTCGAGTCAAACAATGGCGACGGCAAACAATTAAGTGCGCCTCAGCTGCGCCTTGCACTGCCTCGTTCCGGACGAGGATCAATCAGGTACCCCGGAAGAGGCTGGTCATTCAGATCGCCGCACTGAGGCCCAAGATGGCACACGATCGCCTGTCAAGCCAAGTGTAAGGTGCTCATGCTGGGGGGCTCTTATGCAATGGGGAGCAGGTCCCACGATGACTGGTCGTCTCGCTTGATACCGGATAGCCAGCCTCGTCGCGGTGTGAGCTCCCAACGTAAGGTGGCCGGGTCATCTTTGTTCATTGAGACCCACCTGCCAATCATAAATGGCCCGTTCGAGATAAGCCATAAGCATGGAGATTCGAGCTCTGCGGGGTATCGCAACAGGTCCAAACCTAGACCCCCGTCACGTTGTACGCTGCACATCACCCCACGAGATGTGTTGACGATCTTCCGAGTGGGTGAGCACCCAGATTGGTTGACACGTTTGCAAACGGGGTCGATAGATTCGTCTGGAACCCGTGTCCATGCGTCGCTCAGGACAAGGGAAGCAAGGATCCCTGTTTGGTCACATTCCTGCTAGCCGGCTGCTTTGTTTGCTAGCATCCTTGTAGACCCCGAAGGAAGAGGGGTTGGTGATGATTATATGGAGCACGAGCACAGACAATTGAGTTTCCCTCCGGTGTCTCGATAGTGAGGCTAGCCTCGGTGTATGGAATTGCTGAGGGGCCAATCCTCGTGTCGGGGAGCTCAGTGAGGCTCAACATGACATGTTGTGAATATATCTAGAGGCTCCTGTCCTCCGTCCTGGGATACTCTTGTGCCAGTAAGGTTTAATTCTTGATCCTTTTACCGTCGAAGTTCTACTCATGGGCTATGTCCTTGGATCACGGCGCAAGTCATTTGTCACTCTCTACCGCCATTGCTGGCTTTGTGTCGTTGAGGCTCTTAACATCACCACGCCTCCACAGCGGGTAGGTATCATGATTACCTTGGGAACATAAGTAAATGGGACTACACTGTATAAACCTGGTCGGTGTTGTATTAGATTCTGCATAAAGATAAAGCTTTACTATACTACCACCAGGCCAGCCTCAGTCAATGCACCGTTCATCATGCCGCGGAGTTGGCTATCGGTTCCGGTGCTTACTCCCAGCGCGGTTCGCGGTGGGACATAACATCCCGACTAACATGTTGCCTAGTGGTCATGTGAGCTGACCCCGTGACCAGCCACAAAAGACTTGGCCGTCAAGCAGAAGCATCTGGCCCCTGACGGTCTGAAGATACTCGTACCATAATCAACCCAAGAAAGTGATAAGAGGGCTGGGATGACTGTGGTGCAGGCCTCGTGACCGGACTGGATTCACTGAGACGCATGACTCCTGGCCAAGCCTGGATGATCGGCCAGCCGACAACCGACGATTCTATCATTGTACAGTAGTCCTGCCGTCATCGTTGTTTTGCCCAGCTGCAGGCCAAGCCCGAGACTGTTATGCTGGTGCCTAGCGAACATTCCGGAAGGTTGCCCCATCGGGACAAGCGCCGAACTGGTTGAGATTCCTGGGGGATGGATTGGCCCGGTAGGCATCCACCGTGGCACGTCCCATGGAACCAGGGCTGTAGGGCTGTCCCATCCAGATTAATAGAGTACTCCGTACGTATCATGTGTTGAGAAACATGATGCCAGACGTTCTGCAAGATGGGTCCAGGGGGCGAATTCTATTTGCCGAGATTCCCGTAATCCACTTTCAGGAGTCTGCGGTAAGGCTGACGACTTCCCAATGGATTGATGCTGATGGGCGTTCTGAAGTCATCAATTACTCATGCCGATCGAGGGGGACCTTTTTTGGGGGGTCAATTTCTGGTGCAATTGTTGTGGGATATGATGGTAAATCTCACCAAGAAAAAAAAAAGTAGTATAATCAGACCGGTCCAATTGACTTGCATCGTCAGTCACTACAACTTGTACTAACCCTCGCGTCAACTGCGCTGGGAACAAATAAGGCAAAAAAAGACGCCTTTCACTTGACCGCTGCTGCCCTATCCTTCTCGTGTCAGACCCACAGGGGCCAAATGGGCCAATCGCCCGACGGGACGGACCCCACCGTGGAATGCAGACTATCAGCCAGCCTGCCTCAGGTTTCCCCGTGCTTGTTAAATCTCGCGTTCCTGTCTTTTCTTCTTCCTCTTCTTTCACTTTCTGATTCCCTGTCCACCTTGTTCGTTCTCTTTCTGTTCTTTCCCCACCATTCTGTCTCCAGTGGGAAGATAAGCTTACTTTTCTTCACGGTCTTGTGGATTGAGGGGTTCGTGTTGAGTCCGAGACGGTGCACTGACTTTCTCCACACGAAGGAACTGTTTCTTGGCGAGGGGAAATTGATCACTCCCTCACTACACACGCACACACTTGTGATCCTTTCACTGTCACGAGCATCTTCTCAAATCCATCCTAATTGATGTACTACCAAAACTACAATTACCCTCCCCCCCAATCGGGCTGGGGAGGTGGTTACTATCCGCCGCCGCAGCAACAGCAGCAACAGTGGGCACCGCCGCCGCAGCCTTACTAGTAAGAGACCGCTTTTGTCCACTCACCGTAATGCTGGTAGGGCTAACCGGTCCAAGTTCCAATGGATATCCTCCTCCAGCACAACCTCCCCAGTCATATTCTCCACCACAATATCCGCCTCCCGGTCAGTATGGCCATCACACTCCGACCCCGCCCCCGTCGTCGGGGTCACAGTATCGCTCCTATCACAGTAAGCGAAGGCATACCAGTCTTGCTGCCAGATAGGCCCCACTAACCACCCTAGGTCACTCGCCGTCATGGGGCCAAAGCCAAACCCCCCCACGCCCTCCGATGGAGGCGCAGCAGTTCGGCAAGGGAGCTCCGTCCAACTATCGCTTCCAGTACTCCGCTTGTACGGGTCGACGGAAGGCTCTGTTGATCGGCATCAACTATGCCGGACAACCGAACGCCCTCCGCGGCTGTATCAATGACGTGACCAATATGTCGACTTTCCTCCATGATCGATATGGCTACCGGAGAGAAGACATGGTCATCCTGACCGACGACCAACAGAACCCCATGAGTGTCCCGACCAAAGCCAATATCCTGCGAGCAATGCAATGGCTGGTCAGGGATGCGCAGCCGAACGATTCGCTTTTCATTCATTTCTCAGGTAGAGACCACCGCGGAAGCTGACCGGGATGTTATTGGCTGACTGATCTAGGACATGGCGGCCGAACGCCGGATCTGGATGGAGACGAGGAGGATGGTACGTTTTAACCCATGATATCATGTCCATTCGTGACTAGTGCTGACGGATACCAGGATACGATGATGTTATCTACCCGTTGGACTACCGTACGGCTGGACATATCGTAGACGACGACATGCACGATATTATGTATGTATGCTTTGATTTGCTGCTCGACTGACGACTGACAAGGCTTTCAGGGTACGGCCGCTGAAACCAGGTGTGCGTCTGACTGCTATTTTCGACTCCTGCCACTCGGGTACGGCCCTGGACCTTCCTTACGTGTACTCCACTCAGGTACGTTTTCTCGCGTTTAATATGCCTTCGCGATACTCATTCTGGTTAGGGTGTTCTGAAAGAACCCAATCTCGCCAAAGAGGCGGCCCAGGATCTCTTTAGCGCCATCACGTCATATGGACAAGGCGACTTTGCTAGTGTCGCCCAGACTGCAATTGGCTTCCTCAAGAAAGCCGCCCTGGGCGACTCTGCACGCCAACGGACCGTTAGAACCAAGACCTCCCCTGCGGATGTGGTTATGTTTTCAGGCTCCAAGGATACCCAGACTTCGTAAGTACCCACGCGGGTGTCACAGTCGTTCGCAGCTAACAAGGTGATAGAGCGGATACATTCCAGGACGGAGAGGCTCGAGGTGCATTGAGTTGGGCTTTTATCAAGACATTGAAACAGCGTCCACAGCAGAGCTATTTACAACTGCTAAACTCGGTTCGGTCCGAATTAGAAGGCAAATACAGCCAGAAGCCGCAGCTGAGCTGCAGCCACCCTCTTGGTGAGTCTTGTGTTTGTGAATTTCTCTGTTCTTTACTAACGGCTCTAGATGTCAATTTACTTTTTGTGATGTGATATGTATTGTACGAGACATGATGTATGCGTAGTTGTTTTTTTTCTTTTCTGTTTGGGTTTACACAATTCCATGACATTCAATAGCATTGCATTGGCCTCGAGCAAAGTCCCGGCCATATTTCCTCTCGGCTTCACTTCTACGCATTGTACGGCATTGTTGATCCGGATCCTCTATTAGTTTTCATATTCCCTAGTGCATTCCATGTCCTGATTGAGACCCGAGAGGAGAGAAATAAAGATCACGCTAAACACTAGCGTTGGTAGTCAGTGTCTTCCTGGATAACACTGATCCAATGAAACGTTTGCAGAGTTAGCTGATGCTCAGGCCTGAGTGTTTTCTCCTGTCCTGGAAAGACTTTTCTAAAGCACTCCTAGACGCTGTTATATATTGTCTGAGACTTTCATAGACCGTGCTATTCCACCATAGTTTGTATAGAGTAGATTTATGCTCTAGCATGAGTACTTTCTCCCATCCTTCTATGGCAAATTCGAATTGCTCTGACTGAGATATGTTTGCTCTCTCGAACGTTTGGTGATTTCAACAAGTCAGCCAGTGTCCAGAGTTAACCACGAGCACAATGAGGGAATCGAAAGTCGTGGTAAAAGTCTTTGAGAATTTGGCGCTTTAAAAGGTACAGTAACCTGTGTTCAAGATTAACACAATTAATGACTGGATTGATGCTCACTGTTTTTTTTTTTTTTTTTTTTTTTTTTTTTTATTGCTATTAGTTTGGGATTCCCAGATTTCTGGACGCGTGGTCCTGATGGAAAATCAGTAAAGGCTTCCGCATCTTGTGTCCTGGTGCTTTTTTTGACGCTGATCAACTAGCTGCATCGTGGAATAGTGGGGGTTTCAATAGGGAGGTATAAGAGGTTTTATTCATTGAATATGCTTAGTGGTGGTGGTTCAGGGTGGTTATAATATCTTGTATACCTGCCACCCGCCTACTACGCCTAAATTTCAGTTAGAGCGGCTACTGACTAGGCAGGGCTGAAATCTATTTAGGCCTAGTTCTGGGGTTTAGCGGGCTAGATATGCCGATAATCGGCGCATATTCGGGTCGGGTAGAGGTCTGCTGGAAGTTCACAGGTCCCTAGTCTCGGATTTCTATTCAAATGGTTTAATTAATATAGATAACCCCGTTTGATCCCTTGGCCATGTACGGTCTGACAGTTGTGGCGGGTCAAGCACAAATGTGTATGGGTAGGATTTGCCAGCACATCATCGTGGCGCATTGACGTCCACCTGCAGCTGAAACGTACAGATGGCGATGAATCCACTCTCGACACTTTCCCAGACGCACGGAACCCCCAAGAATATACATGAAGACCCCTCTATAGGGCCTGGAAGGAATCTCGACCTAAAGATCGCCGAACCTGAGTCCGTGCGGGTGGAGCCCTGGTTAGCCAGCCACCGTTTGATTTATACACAATCTCCAATTGTTTATTCATCCTCAAAGAGCGGGGTTGTTTGGAACCTTGCCTGCTAGAAAAGATACGTCGTTTGCTTTTCTGATTTGATCATCGAGCCAGCTGTTTCTTGTGTCGGTGAACCTGTACCCCATCCAGTAGAGTAACATTGCTCATGAACCATCTTTCTATATTGTGGCTCGCTCCTTTACCGTAGATGACTACCGACTATCCTTCGGTGGGGTCAATACTGGGTCGATCCATAACCTACCCTCATATTGGTGGACCCAAAGTTGGATGAGCGGATCGACGCATCTGCTGGGGAGTGAGCCAGCAACTATTTAACAACCAATCGACAACGAATGAAAATTTCAGTCGAGGGGACGTGAAGGAAATGGTATGTCGATCCGCCAAATCGAACCATGGATACGTTGTAGTCACCAGGTATCCGTATGATGCGCTTTGCCATAGCATCAAACTGCCCAAATTGTGCGTTTGATGTGTCAATCAATACAACATTGTTATGCTACATTTGTCGCTGCAGAGTGGAAATTAGTTAGAATTTTTTTTTTTTTTTAGTACTCCTCATCTCTTGTATTTGGTCATCTCATGTAGAAAAATCTCGTAGAGCAGTCAGCTTTGCTGTATGTCTTGTATATCAAGGCGCCATCTGCTCCAAGAGCACAGCCACGGAATTATGGCGATATCGACTTGCACCTGGAGTACTCGTTGCTGGCAGACAGGCAAAACTCCCGCAATTTCGAGCTGATACCTTGTGCACAAAGTCGTCGACCCCACTCGCCGATCAGCCTTTATTCATTCGTTCGTGCCAAGGGACACGTAGAGTATCCTACATCGCCATGATAGACGGATGTTGTGACGTGACCCATGAATCCACCGATCAGATGAGGCAATTCATTCTCGTTAGTCAACTATTTCTCTTCTTCTTTCGGTTCAAAGCACCTGACCTGGGCTGAGAGCTCAGCTATAAATACGTGGACAACTCCCCACGGTGATCCTGCAATACAACGACCAGAAAGACCAGTGAAAACAGTATATGATAACTCTTTTCTCTCTGTTATTCCAGTTAATTATTTCCTCTCGCCATCACGGTAAGGCCTCCCTATACACTACTGTTCTCCTCTATTTCCTCTCTTCATGCCTTTGTTCTGATTTTCTCCCTAGATGCCTTCCACGACAGGTTCACTTTCCGGTAACTTGAACAACTTCACTGGCCATTGGAATGTGGAAGGCTACGAAGCTGAATTCCGTGGTGTTTTCAGCCAAAATGTCGAACACTGGCAGTCCAGCGCTATACTCGAATATGACAATGTCGAAGACCTTGCTGGCACCTTCAGTGTCGGCGCCGAGGGGTTACCGTCATACATCGGCAACGTTGATACTAGCCTGACATTGACCAATCAGGCTGGCAAGCAAATCAAGATCACTGGCCCACTCTTGTCTCCCATCCCTCAGAGGACCACCATCGCCGGCCACGGAGTCTGGTCCATCAGAATGTAGATGGAGACCCTTTGGCCCTGGGACAATTGCTTCAATATATTAAGCAGGTAGATGGGATAGGTGGATGAAGATGGCGGAGGAGGATAGGGGATTGCAATTCTTAGTCTCGTCTGTTGGATTACAGGGTCTCAACTGGAATGTCGTCTGTCTATCTCTATGCTGTTAGCGTATAACTATCTCTTGCTCCCTCCAAGCTGCAATAATCTCTAGAGATAGAGGATGCCAAGTTTGGTAAAATAGGTGTCGCTTATAGAGTAGAGTAAACATGAAGCGAACACATTAGACTTGTGAAACATGACCTCTAGACTATCAAAAGTTCTCTCTTGATCTTTCAATATGCTTCTTCTTCCCACTTGAGCCTTGGGTTGTTTAATACAAGTCACCTTCATCATCTATATACCCCCCGTCTAACCCATTCTCGCTACGTCTCTTGGAACTTGCTAAAAAGCAGGGTCCTGTCTCCAGGCTCCTCCCTGCAGATAGATGATTGCTTGGAATTTCCTAATATTGGACATATAATCAATAAACTATATTCATGGCGTTAAAAGGCGATCGCGGTGATAGCGGAGATAGCGGGAATAACATAGCCCGTATGATATGGTATTCAGCCCTACCGGGGGTAATACCATTTGTAGACAGTAAATTAGGAAGCCTGCATTGTTCGTTTCCTTTGTGCCTGATTCTGAAGATTTAGGTTGCATGGAAGATCCACAGGGGATGATGTGTTGGGCGTTCTGCAGCAAGTATTCTACAGAAGGATTCATATGCATAGAGGGAAAATACTGCGTTGCCTTAGAACATGATATCTCTTGATCTTCATATTCAATTCTATATCGCGTTCTAGCTAAAGACTGAAAATGAGTGAACAACTAAGCATACCCCTTGGTACTACTATTCATCTATAAGGTACTCGTGTCGGCACAGGGAATATCAGTACAAGGCAATCCATTAGACCGGTACAACAATCTTAGTGCCACTAACACCAGCCTTCAGCTTGTCCAACGCTGCGTCCAATCCGCCTAAACCGCCACCCTCAATCTGGATAGTGGGGCTGGGGATTACTTCACCCGACTTCAGACCGGTCTTCAACCACCCATGGAAGACCTCGTTGATGTGCCTGCTCCTCGCAGTCTCGTCCATAGATGGGAGGTTGAACGTGATCTGCGTGTTGTCGAGGGTCGGGTGGCCTTCTGGGAGAAGGGGCGAGTGTGCAACCCTGGCGTGGGCAGTGCCCTTGGTCTCCTTGAGGATGTCCAACGTCGGCTGCAGAGCTCCATCAACAACGCAGTGTGCAGTGGGCAGCTTGACACCATCCTTCCTCACGGCAGCCACAACCTGAGAGACGACATCGCTTGCCCTGTAATCGAAGACCGCATGGGCCCCGAGCTTCTTGACCAGGTCGTGGTGCTTAGGACTGGCGGTGGCGTAGACAGTGAAGCCGAGGGTCTTTGCTGATTGAACGGCAAACGTGCCGACGCTGCTCGATGCGCCCCAGATCAGCACCGCTTGTCTGTCCGCGGGAGTGTACCTGGTGTCGAGCGGGATGCCGATGGTGGTCCAGGCAGTCAGGGCAGTCAAGACAGCCAAGGGGAAGACGGCGCCTTGCGCGAAGGAGAGATGGTCTGGAAGTGGGATGACGGCTTCGGATGGTGCCAGAGTGTACTTCTGGAAGGCACCGTAGTCGGGGGAGCCGTTCTGGTAAAACGATGAGGCATAGGCGATGACTCGGCTTCCTGGGCCAGGGACCGTGGTGACGTTCGAGCCCAGCTTGGCGACAACACCCGCAGCATCGGATCCGGTGATCGCGGGGTAGATAGGCACAGCAGGCATGCCGTAGTCCCGCTGGAAATGATTGCAGGGGCTCAAGGCAACGGCTTTGACTTCGATGAGAACTTCGTTGGGGCCGGGCTCGGGGGTGGGACGCTGGCCAAGAGACAGGGGACCACCCCGCTGGGGAAGAATGGCAGCTTCGTGTTGTCGGGCCATGGTGGGTGTTTGACGACTGGATATTGTGTTTGCTTTTGTGGGGGCTTTTTCACTGAAAGACCGTTCAACCTGAGCAGGAGAAGTATGTGGAAGGGGAGAACGATAGAAGGGACGTGTATAAGACTTGAACTGTTGATAACTTAGATAAAGCTAAGAGATACATAACCACGGTAGGTTTATATTTCAGAAGTTACATGTGACTTCTTTGCAGATAAAGTCTTTACCATTAAAACCGATATGTCCCTAAAGTCCGATCTGGGAGATTTATCTTGTTCTTCCTGTTGACATGTTACCTGTGACACTAGGGTAGAACCCAAGGAATGAGTATGATTGTCGAATTAGAGGGGAATTGATATACTAGTTCTTTTGTGCTCCCACAGTCCATGAGTGCTGCTGTTCCGGTGTTAAACCTAGAGAACTTTCCATTAAATCGGAATGCAGTATAGGGATCTCGGAGACTGAAATTCTGCGGCTAGATCCGTGGTGAGTATCCGTGGTTTGTATGGTGAGTTGGGACGAATACGAATGATGCCTAGCGTCTTTCTAGGGAGAACATGCAAAACCTACCGTGTCTCGAGGACCTACTGACTGTAGACCGGAGACAGCCAATTGCTGGCGCAGGCATAACAGATTGGGCAACTTGTCAACATCACTCTGCCTTCCCACACTCGAGAATGGGGTATTTCGGGAAATACTCTTGCCAGTAGGGGACTAATAGTACTTGACATATGTACGGAAATAGTAATTTGGCACTAAAAATCTTGATTCTATTTTCCATCCGCTAAGGAATCTAACGAGAGAAGAGCTTTCGCATATCTTCCGTGATTGGATCTTCCGTATCGCCATATATCTCCTTTAACCAGTTTTGCCAGAGCCAATCAACCCAACACTGGAAGTCCTCGTGACAATCTGCCCAACGTAGAAGAGGTGATATAAAGGTCCCAGGAAATAGAAGTTTTCTGAGATGAGCGGCGTCATCTCTTGTGCGCCCAAAGAGGGCTCCGCCAAAGTCGAGGAAGACTACCCTCCGCTTGCCGCTTCTTGAAGACGCATCGTCAACCAGGATGATATTTCTCCGCTTGAAGTCCGTGAGTAAGATATCTCCCGCATATACTAGACTTTCGAAATCGATCACCTCCTTTAAGATAAGTTGTCGTGATGAAATATCATAGTCATTTGGGTTGGCATTGAGCATTGATAATCCCGGTATATACTCAAGTAGAATTAGTCGGATGGTACGTCTATTAGACTGATCGACCGGTATGGACAAGGAAAAAGAACCATAGAAATTTGGTATCTGTTTGCCCGCAAGATCGGAAAGCCTCATGTACATAGCCGCTTCGTGGGTATAATGTTTGTCCACACAAGAGAAAGGATTAAGGAAACCGTCATCATCATTAGCGAAAAGGGGGTCATAGAATTTAGCGACTGCTCTCATCCCTTTCTGAAGACCTTGGCCATCTCCTAAAACGTCAACCATCACCACCTGGGCATTGTGTTGGTCTACCACTTGTATAAGATCAGTTATGCCTAAGTCGATCTTAAGTGGTTCATCGCAGCCCGGAAGGGGAGGATGATTTAGGCATCGTTCAACTGGACTCAGCCGTTCTTTTTCCAGATTGTCAATGTCGCTGTTACAACAACCGTTCTCGAACACTGGTGTAGGCTCAGGAGGTTTATGTAATTGAACAGTAAAGCGCCAACCGACAGCGTAAGGGATTGCTGGCGTCATTTCTTCCACCGAAATAGACAGGTCATGAGTGATTAAGTCCTTCTGTAAATGAGTGAGGCAAACTGCGAAAGACAAAGTCTGAAGCTTTAGGACGTTTAGCAGAGTAGCTAAAAGCTCTCTTGACTTCAGAGTCGCATGTATTTGTAGTAGGAGCTGAACAAGAAGTTAGTAGCTGCTGTCCCACGGGTTGGCGCGGGTAGATCTAGAACCCGCCCCCGGAATGCACGGGGTTCGGGTTCGGGTCGGGTTTAGCGGGTCTCCCGTACCAAATCATAAATATACGTACTTTCTGGACCAAGCCCAGATCAACAAGTCAGGTTATTATGCACTAGTACATACTACCTCGCATAGGAGGATTCCAAATATCGAAAGTTCAAAAAACATAAACATACAACAGGAGGGATTCGCTGGTGGTCACCCACCCAACTACTAACCTCCCGGCGTGTGGCTTCTGCACGGTCAATAGGTCGCTGCGTGCACCCGCAGGGTGAGTGAAGGTGATGGTGCCAAGTCGTCGCGCGCTTAGCGTGGGTATGTTTTAGAGAGGGGTGATGAGCTGCCATATCCATCACCCTGCGGTGATGGGCCAGAACGTTTACCCGTGCCTGTCCACATCTGACTAGACCGTCACGCTGCCAGTTCCCTGATTGGCGAATAGCCCCGCTCGGTGAGACGCCCAGGCTCTTGGCAGCTGCGCTTCGCCACATAACAAGATAAGCATTTCGGTCTCATGCTAATATCATTCCTCCCGTCTGGATTTTGGGTGTGTCTCAGATATATCCTTTTGCAGGCTGTCTTGACAATCTCAAAGTGTCGAACAAGTCGTATGGAGCCAATATAAAGCATTGATTAATAAATCCTGATAGTTATTACCCTCCCCTCTGATATTCGCTGTTAAAAATTTGTGTGTATTTCCTTGTTACTTTGTAGTTCTCCATCCTCAATATGTGCGGTCGAGTTAACAAGTGGTGAGACTGCTTCTAAGTAAGCATGCTGACACCGAATCAAAAGACGGTGGTGATCAAAGCGTACTGTCATGGGCAGCCAAGAATGGTCATGAAGATGTGATCAAGCTTCTTCTAACCCATGATGCTAATCCAAACTCTGTGGATAGCACAGGTATGAGTCCACTATTGTGGGCATTACATCGTGGCGATGGAGCTATTGTTGCGCTCTTCTCAAACAAGAAATTCTCGCATTGTCCGCCCCATATGCACAAGAAGCCACGCAGGCACCGTCGACGGCGCTTTAGTTCCTGTAAGATCCCCGTAACTCCGGGTGAAGCACACAAAGCGTATGAGTGAATAGATCTAAGGTGTACTTGCCCGTTCTACAAGACTTAGGAATTGTCCGATGTGTGATGAGCGCGCAAGTACCTCTATTTGACATCAAGTTGGTATTGAATTTAATTCTTTCCGAGAATTACCAATTCATCTTATGACTTTCTAGTACTGCTTATACTTCTTGGCTGTCTCTCAAAAGGTGACATGTCTATATTCAGCCGGAATGTGGTGCTTACGTGGCGCACTATATTGTCCAGGCTGACACTGCAAATTCATATAATATTTAAATGGTGTATAAATCTTAGCACTTTTGTCCATCCTTGGCGTATTCGGACGCAATTTTCTCTGTATAGACAGTATAGACTGGATAAAGGGATCTTTGATATCACCCAAAGTCCAACAGGGTCTAGAACTAAGTTTGTTATCTAGTTCTTTTATTGATTGTATCTGTACTATTACTCTTACACGTAGCTACTAATATCGGGGCTTTAGTTACATCGCCCTAGCTGCAGGCACTCTAAGATTCGCTGTTGGTATACAATTGGTGTAGTATTTAGAACAGTACTCGGTATCTACCGTATTAGAACATAAGAATCTGTCAAGAACAGTTCCACTTACTAGGATCGTATGATTGAAATATTCTGTGGGGTTATAGTTGCTAGGTCGAAAGATCTATACTTTAAGGTAATTAAGGGTACTCCAAGAATTGTTTATAGTATGTCGTTTACTAGATCAACAGTTTGAACAAAAGAGATATAATCATGACATAGCTCGGATATCTCTGTGGTGTTAAGAAAATATAGTTACTACAAGCCACATGCAATGTTGACGTAGAAAGCGTCACATAAAAGGGATTCAGATGTAGGAACTCTACGTGGAAGGTTCACTGATGTAGAGGGCTCTGCATACCAGGGATACTAAGGACTGATGGGGAAAGTCCACTTCAAAATCCCAGCGATGTAAGAAAATGAATTTAATTGCTACAAATTCCTGACTAATGCGGCACACGAAGCGGTGAATATATTTAAGAATGGCAAACTATTAGTAGAGTAGTTATATTCGGGTATGTTAGTGTTAGGACTCGCAAAATACTACGACAACGCTAATATTGAAAGACTTGAATATTAGCAGAACCGTAATATATCGACAATTCTCGGTATTAGCGCGGTAAAACGGAGAAGCGATAGCCGCCTAGTGAACAACTTATATGTCAATTGTACTGAATCTATCAAGCGAACGCCGATTAGGTCACGTGCATGGTGACGACCATGAAAGGTACGTCGAAAGGTACCGCATGAGCGGGGCGCTCCTTCAGAAAATGGACTGCAGGCCTAGCATCCACAGCAGGACAGGACAATAAGATACGCTAGACAAGAGCGTTACTATGAAAAACCCATCCTGAAACTGCTGCCTTGAGATGTCTCTCCCAAAACAGCCCCTTGACAGTAAAGAACAAGCCCATCCAGCGATTGTCAGTAGAAGTAACAAAGGATATGTATATTTAGAAAGAAAAGATAATGAAAATTAAGAGAAGGGAAGAGAAAGGTAAGCAACGCTTGACTTTTGAAACACTGTAGCCTAGCAAAATTAGGTCCGAGTCACAACAATTGGTAAAGGTACCAGACAAAAGCACCCAAGCAGAAATAACGACAAAAGTCATGCTTAGCTTCTACCGATAATGACTAAAAGTGTAACCTGTGGATAGCTAGTAAGTATATGGTTGTATCGTAACCTATTACGCAAGGAAGTTCTATTCTGAATCGTCTATAGAAAATATCAGTCACATTAATACCAGACAAATATTGTGGTTGAGGTCGAAGCGAGACCGCCAGAGTAGGACTGCCGTCGAGGTAAGACCGCCGGCCATATGCGATGAAATACTCAAGAGTTAGCCCACCAGTTAGACAACCCGGCTCTCGTCTGCGATTTTGTATGAAAATGAAATATTTCTTAGCATCGACTAGAATTCTAATATAGGAATGGCTGGCCTTTCACTTTATCCGCGGACAATCTGCTTACATTCAGTCGCATAGCTTAGTCACCTCCTAACGTCTCCCGGTAGGGGATCTTTTACTTCTCGCAAGGTAACCAAGAAGGATTTTTAGACGATCATGCATCTGTACTGATAGTACTATATACTGTAGATTTATTTACAGTTAGAAATCCTCCCTCGCGTGTTAATATCGTACCTATCCATATCTCCCTTCAGAAATTGGAGTTTCATGAACAACCGATTATGACCGAGCTGTCTGGCATATGCGATCGACCCGATCGTATTACAGCGATTCAACAGCATATCCCTAGGTTAAGAAACAATAAGATTTGTTGTTTTTACAGCTCTCCTTAGTCATGTGTAGCCAACAATAAGCACGTATATGATGTAACTCAGTGGCAAATCAAACAGAACACGATTCCCATTCGGGATGCTATTGGAGTTAAAAAGGTGAACCTAAATACAGTTTGATTTTCAACAGAGCAAGAGGAATCAGCTCTTCTCCCGAGAAATTAACGACTGCAGATCTGCAAGAGCAGAATCAAGGGATGAGGCTTTCCGAACCTCCTTTACTAGATTATTCACATCATCTTCCTTCCCAGAACGCAGGATACTTATTAAGTACATGGATACATGTCGATAGCTTTCCATGTCTTTCTCTACAGCCTTTCGTGTCAATCTTCGCCGTTTGTCTGTTAAAGGCTCGAAAAAACACTCGTTGTTCGTTGCAGCGCATGCTTCACAGGGAGGAGGGCCATTGCACTTTAGAATATGAGCAATACTTAAACGCACGTATTATGAGATAATACATACCTTTACTTTCTTTCGTTGACACGATGAGCAAGCTAAACTCCGCCGCTTTGACCTTCGTTCGACATGGTGAACGGGGGCAGGAGGCTTATGAGGGCTGCGGCATACTGCAGGCAGAAGTGTTCTGAGTGGGGCTGCAGGACCAGTCATTGATAACGTTCGCACTGCTCTGATACTAATCGTGTGTAGGTGGGGAAAAAATAACTCAGGATGGAGATGAAAATAATAACTATAATTCACAAGACCAGCTTCACATTCTCTTTATAAAGGACTCTTTTTCTGTTTCTACTTTGTTGTGTTACCCAGGTTTGCCATTTTCCAAATTACAGACGCTAACTATGCATCCAGCAAACAAAGACGAGGGCCAGGTTGGGACAAAGAAAGCAAACTAGCATTATAGGTATGGGTAATATTCATCTTGCAAATCCTTCCAGGTTTCTTCTTTGTCATTCTTGGCACCAGCACAAGGTTGAAATATCCAATTTCTTTATACGCTGATAGCCTATTCCTTTGGGAAGAATATTTCACGTTTTTGCAAAGGATTAGAGCATGATCAAATGTCCCAATTGTGGGGTTAGGAGGTGGATCTGGGTCACATGCGCCAAGAAGAAAGAAACAAACATGACAATGAAAGTACAGATTGCGAATGGGACGGAGAATAATACATCCGTCGTGCTTATATCCTTTGACATATTCTGTCATTTTCTCGTCCGCCTCTTATCTCCTGTCAGACGTGCTGAGTTCATATGACCCCATCCCTTCTTTCTTTTCTTTTCTTTTTTTTCCTTAAGAAAAAAAAGTTCAAATAATCCATGTATGTTCCACTCAGCATTTCGTTTCCCCATATAAATTTGAGCTGCGAAGGAAATATAGAAAATATGATAGTGGGTGTAGTGGCTGTTTTCCTGCAACGCGACATCATTGATACGTGGTCGGTGACAAACCTTACAACAGAGCATACATTTGTTATGAATCCACATTTGCAGAAGTCTCGCCCATGTAAACTTTTTTCCATTAGCGATATTACGTTGCCTCCGTGGGGTAACCTGACTTGCGTTTGTGGCAAAGCACGGATCATACGGTAAACTATACCGAATGAATATCAGACACAAGATATCGGGATAAAACGCTGGATAATGTGATATATTCGGACAACTTCAAAGTCGGTCTTCACTGTAGAAAACCGGTGGTTTTTTTTATTATTTGTTTTATGAGAGAAACCTCTTAGAACACAAAATGCCTTCTCAAAATGTTTGTCGTCTTCTCGGTCATGATTCGTGGGAATGGCTTATTGAGTTCAAAGAATCCATGCCTTCAGCTAGCAAATATGGCACACCTTGGGTACTCGTTAAAACGTATGGTACGATAGGTCATATGGAACGCCATAATATATAATGGAAAGTGAAGCCTTTTGTGTGGTTGTTTCCTGTGAAGACATGAAGGCAAGCTAATTAAAGCATAGGACATTTTGAGCCTTGTGCTAAACCACAATAAAATAATTTCAATTCGTGGCCTATCGGGTGTCATAACGGTTCCAAACATATAGCTCCTTGTGGTGATTTTAGGCGTACGGCGTTCGAGACCATCTGGTGGGCCATGCTTTCCCGTGGCGAACCACACTTTTACAATTCCTGCATACCCTGTGACAGTTTCGGCATTATGGCAAATCTCTCCCCGTGAAGCGCCATTGTGCAACATAATAAGCGACATCATATGACTTGATTCTGGAGATATATAATGTATCTAGGGCGGTTGTAAGCTATGGACCAATAATACACTCTATTTTTTAAACATGACTAGTAATCGACTCCGAAATTCGTCTCCCACAGAGAGGGGTGTTTTAGCAGCGAGGGAGCTTTTGCTGGCGCAAATGCCGTGTTACTTTGGAATGCAAGACGCATTAACGAGTTGGCTTATCCAACATATTTCATTTGCTATGAATAGTTGTTAACTGTAGTTCTAGACCCAGGCGAACTCCCTGAGACTTGCCCCCTCTGCTGGGAACTACTAGGCCCTATGGCCTCATATCGTCTACTTCCATGTGGTCACATATTTCATCTGCCATGCATTGACTTTTGGCTCTGCAGTCAAGACACTCGCTGTCCACTTTGTTGTCGATCTTTCTACTATTTACGAAGACCACGGGCTACGTATATCGCCATAAAACCTTCCGCTACCTGGAAAATGCTCGGAATTAAGAGTTTACTAAAGTCTTTGAAAGCACGATGTAGGAGGACTATATTGTATCATTGGGAAGCTAGGGCCCGTTTATAATTTTTGAAAGCAACCGAAGGACTTTGTATTGATACATATGTTAAATAACTTAATCGTGAGCGAGTGATGATTAACAAGATATGCAATGCTAGTTATACAGGTAGAATCACTACTTTTTTGCCAGGCATTTGTACTTAGCAGTCACTCTTTCTGGGCTTCTCGCTTCTAGAAACCCTTAATCATTGATATTTCTCTAGTGGGGACTCTCAAGTTCGAAATCCACAAATTTAGTACAGAAATCTCCATCAAGTATAGAGCCAAGAGTATTTGTGCGATGGCGCGATCTTACTAGCACCGTGGCAATCATTACATCATCATCTTGGGCTATCGGACTCCAGGATTTCTGATGAAGCCCTTCGTAAGCTTAACCTACACTGATAGTGGGTCTGTTAGCATTTATGCTGGACTTATTTCCGCCGTGCTCTTGCATTTTCTAGCATTTAAGTCTATGCAGGTAGCCCACTTGTGCTCACGTTTACTAGCGCGTCATGAGGAGGTCTTTAACCAATTTTTTGTAGTTTTCTTTAGGTAGTTTCATGCTTAGGCATGTCACTAATTTCATATCAATTTGGCGCAGGTTCTTGCTAGACCCACCATGCAGCTCAATACCCCTACGCCTAAAGAAGTAGACTTAAGCAGCCGAAGTAATTCAGCGCCCAAGACATCTTGTACATTTCAACAGCTCCAGGACTGGAGGTTGAGCTTCGGGTATGGTTAAGTTGATCTAGAAACCCTTAATTACCTGATAAGCTCTATATTAACCAGTTACTAAACGGAGCTGAAATAGCACTATAGTCTGCTGCGCTTACAATGTGTCAGCCTAGGTAACCCAACTAAAATAATTCACGTAGAAGCTGCGCAGAAGGCCGAGCTACGCAGCCGCGCTGGACCACTATGCTACCGCCTTGAGGAGATGAAATCAACATTATAAGCTTTGTTTCGAAGCAGAGGGCTGACATGTATTGTTACCATTCTTGGCAACATTACGTTGGGTAACAGGATCTACAAACGAAGCTTCTCGAATTGTATTCACGTGTTACGGAATTGAACACCAAGGTTAAACTGTTAGACAACGATTGCTGCTTAATTTAAGAGGTGGGCGGTACGAAATTTGTGAATCGATAATTCAAGTTATCATTGTTATCTTTCTATTACTCAGTACATATTCTAGAGTATAGCTTGCTCACATCTCTTTGTGCATCCTTCCAGTCTGCATTTTGGATTAATAATAATTACGATTGCAAGACAAGATATTATACCTCATCCTTACGGCCAGGGTTTTCGACGATGTAATCATCTCCCAGTCGGGTCCTATATGTAGATTTGAGTCTCATCATAACAAGAACTAATACCTATCATGCCTATCTTTCATATCCTTATTGTGTGCTTTAACTCCTTCCTCATCACATGTGCTGCCTAATCCACCACTTTCAGTGTTAGGCCCTTCTCGGTAATTCTTAAGGCTATAGTATTTCTGATGTCCTTCACTGCTTTTGGGCTCTGCAGACGTCTGATCCGAAGGACTTTCAGGCGAGGATTCTGTCTTTTCTTCTTGTGTGTCAGCCAACTCTGTGTGTTCAAAGTTCCATCATTCCTGGCTCTACCATTGTCTATCAATCTCCTGTTCAACCGTTTGTGCTCTCTCTTCAGATGCCTAGTCACTTACCTAGATTTTTGACATCTTTTTCAGTGATTTTATCCTCGACCAAGCCATTACTGTTTGCTTTTCCATCCTGAGGTGTTTTATCTTTGGAGCTAGCATATCGGTAAAACGGCGTGGTAATCGAACCGCTAGAGTTTGAGGAAGTGAATTTGATCTGGCGGCAACTTGGTGTCACATATAATCGACGGATGATATGCATGTTCAACAGTAATCCTTATTTGAAAGCAACAATAGCCAAAAAGGATATATCATATAGTTCAGATGTAGCTTCTGGGGGTAAGGGGTCTGTTTTACAAAGAATCAGGTGGTTCATACGGGCTAACTGTGGCAGATGCTTTGTAAGCAGAGGACATCTTTACTATTCAATTTTATAGGCAACTGCCTCCCAAGGTTATGGTAATATAAACCGGAAAGGGTCTTCTAAGGTGACCAGCGTACTGCTAGTTAACCATACTCGGGACCGAGTGAGAATTTGATCTCTAGGTGTACTTTATCCATACGTTTAGAAAGCCTTGTATTTTCTCTCTGACGAAGGAAGTACTGGCTGGCATATATGGGCTAGTGCGTAATATCCAATAAAACTCAAACTAGGTGTACTAAAGAGCTAGTATTTTCTTCAGTATGATCATGTATTGCCTGTGGTATGAGACTTACGTCATGCATATGGAATCCTGACGCAATATGCCTCGTATTACGTGCCTCTGACGGGGCTCTATGAACTAAGTTTTATTGTTTGACTAGATAAACTTTACTCAAATGCATAGAAACGTCTAGGCTAGCGTCAGATCAACAGGCGAAAGACCGAATATTCCGTCCTATCACCTTTTGCAACCGTTAGATTTTGTATTTTAACTTTGATCTCCCTGCGATACAGAGCGAGACCCACATAAATAATTCACATTTTACGGGACGGCGAGTGCCAAAGCGGCGAAATAGTTGCCCGTAAGATAAGTGGTTTCCTTGGCATATCGTGGGAGACCTCAGAAACTATGCTTTTTTGCCTTTGGTACAGCTAACACTCTCAACGGGAAGGCCTCAACAGAAAACTATGTATCTAATACTCGGACAAATCCAGTGAATTTTGGATGTGATGCGATTTGCAAGGCAACTGCTGGAGTAGTTAGTTTGCGTTGGATTATATAAGACAATATATTAACTAGCTTGTCACTTTTCGAGATGTCCCTCGCGCGAGCTGACATACCAACGAACACGAGCCTTTTCATGTACAGTCATGCAGACCGGGTCGTAAGGTGGCTAGTTCAGCTCATTGTAGTACAGATTAAAATATAGGTGACATAACAGAATGACAGTGAGGTGGGGAAGCTTCATTTCTCCGTGATTTGGGGCTTATAGCCAGCCGCTTATAGCCTACATGACGTGATGTACTTGGGCGTCAGGACGAGACTTTATGGAGGAACAAATAGAATGTAATCCTTCTCTGATATACCCCTGTTGATAATTCCTTCCTCGGAACTATCAAAGGTAACCATGAACTAGCGAGCCATTTTACCAAAGAAGTACATCTAAATGTCAATCGAGCATTGGGGCGGCCACTAAATCTGCATTTGACGTGGCTACATTATTATTATTATTATTTTAAGATGCAAGATGGCGATTGCAGCACAATATGGTCTACACTTGGAAGTTTCAGAAATGGTTATACCTCCATTCATGCCGCCACACGTCGGCTCTATCGAAGCGGATACTACAATATAAATAAACTTGACTGTATTACGTGGCTATTCAGTGGTAGTGATACTGCATATGCTCATCACGCTGGGCCATTCCTCTATCTGTACACACCAAAATATCAAGGAGTTAACGCTGTTTCTGGACGAACGGTACTTGGATTGCTCTATAGGTCAAAATGGGTGTGCATACGGAGTCTAGCTCGTATGAAAGTTCAGAAACACTTCCCGTATGTGCTACGTTCGGTTGTGCAGTCAGCATGGTATTGCCGTACTTGGAAACAGCAATGTCCTTGTTGCACCGTACTAACTGCTAAAAATAGTAGCATAGATTGGTTAGCTGTATAGGGTGTGGCCAGGTAGCACCGCCTCAGTGCAAATTGTTAATTGACACAGCTTTACCAACCCAATTTCCTTTCCCCATTGGCTTTAAGCTTAGTTAATTTACTGAGCATGTTCTCGTAGACCAACATAGTGGCTATCGAGGCTGGTACAGCTCGCATCAAATTTGTCCCGAAGCCTGCATATAAAGCTTGCCACCCCTCTTCCAACCAAATAGTTCGGGCGGTTTGCACAATCCCTGTATACCGTTGGTATAACGGTGTAGAAGATTTCAAAATTTGCTGGGTTTGAAGCCGTGTTCGGATAACTTCGTGAGGGTACGCCAAAGACGTGGAAACTATCTTACTCAGGAATCCGGCGGCTATAATCCCCGAGGTTTTATTTTGGCAGTCTTTGATTTCACCCAGCCCTGACCCTGTTAGTCCTCTCTTTAGCGTCTCGTAAAGAGGAAATTGGATTGCAAGCTGCGATAGGCCGAGAAGGGCCGGTGTTAAACCTGAATAGAAGGCTAATATACCCTCATTGCGATAAATTTGCTGAGCTGCATCAAATGCCGACTTGTACTGCCACTTCGGCATCGCATATGTCTGACTAGATATGTTGGTCTGAGACATTA